GCAGCGCCTCCAGTAGCGCGCGCATGTAGCGCTGCAGCTCCCCCCAGTCCATCTCCCCCACATACTCCTGCAACACAACATTACTATAACAGTGGTAACATCGTTTTAACATCTTCGCACGAATGGGTCGGCGCGATGAAATACTATGAACACACAGAAGACAAGCGTGATTTGGGTGCAATTCAGCAATTTGTCTGAAGAGTGTGGAGGAGGAGACTCAACTTTAGTCCCTTTTCCTTCCTATCCTTCTTCGTAAATTTGACGGTAGAGTAGATGCAATGGAAGGGGAACATCCTCTTTATTTGTGTCTCCTACTCCTTTGTTTAAGAGTTGTCAACACATCCACTATTGCAAATGCCTATGGGCAGCTGTCACTCGCCATTTTGGTGGATTCAGGTGGCCACTTGCTTGTTTGACACCTTTTAATATAAAAAATAAAAACTCAGCAGTCACTTTACAGACTATTTAAGCACCGATTGATGTTTGCTTACCGAGAACTTCCTGTGAGGTATGTAAGGCATAATGAACACTATGGTGTCAAGGTGACGCAGGCAGAGATCCACTCCTATCACATTGTGCTTTCCCCTCAAAACATAACATAATACTTAATTAATTTACATCCATGTAAAGTACACACAAACAAAGATGTAACACGAAATTTATTAGACTTAAATTTGATATATTTAGTCAGTGTTTCTAAAAATTACTTTCTCTAGACAATTATTACATCTATTTTAATAATCAGCATATATTGATAATTGTTTGTATATCTTATTGCTTAGTTTAATTTGAAAGCAAATTACCTCTATTATATTCACTTATTATACTCATTATACTCATTCTTAGTCAAATATCACAAGGCTAAGTGTATTTTGGTGTAGCATAGCAGCATTCAGAATACATTGACTTTATTGTTAGATGAAAAAAGTTATATCTACCCAATATCTTGTAGGCATCTCAACTCATGCTCAATGCGAGCAGGATGCGCAGTCGGCACTAGGTGCTTGATTGCAAACCAACGGCGGTCGGCGGCCGGCAGCGCGCAGTGCCGCCGCAGGGAGCCTAGGTACACTGAGCTGAATGTCCCTTCCCCAATCTTTCGGTGGACTTCAAATATCTGGTCCAAAGCTGGAAGCTTATGCAGCAATTCATCTATCTGTTGCTCTAAATGATAAAATTATAATATTTATTTACATTTGTCAATTAAAATCCAGTAAAATCTCATTCAACCTATAAAAATCCATGTTGTAAAAGACAGTAGTTATTACGAACAAATATCAACTAAATGCGAGTCACTCACTCTCCGCATCGTCTCTATCAAAGGATTCTTCTTCGCTTTTCTTTCTAACGGCATTAGTGAAACCATTTTTAAGCCATTGTTGATTTTGTAACACGTCTTTCTGTAACCGAGGTTTTGTCTCAATTCCTCTTATTCTAGACATTATTAGGCCAAAACAGTTTCATGTTTCAGTTTTAAACAAAAAGATACGTTTTTTTTTTAACTTATGAAATATAAATAATCTTAACCATTATTCAAAAACTATAAAAATGAAAACAATCAAAAGGAAAAAACATGTGAAAAATAAAAAAAAAAGTGAAACGTCAATGTCATGCTCAAAATAGGTATGTCAAATGTTGTGTATAGATAACGAATGGTATTATTATGGTTGAATAAAAATATTAAAAATCAAGGACAGACATTTGGATCAAAACTGATCTTCATAACAATACATAAAGCACAGAAAGGTATTCAAAGTTCTTGCATTTTAGTTTTATTAAAACTGACATCTGTTGTTTCTCTATGACTCTGTGTCACTTGTCATAGTTTTTATTATCCAATTTTACGAGTTCTTATCATCTCATCACAAATCTTAATTTTTATTTTGATAGTCTTGATCAGTCTTGATAATGGAATGAGGTTATTGTAATACGAAAAAAAAGTATAAATACAATAAAATAAATAACACTGTACAATGCTTGCGAGAAGCGGTAGAGTTATTACTTATACGCTACGGTTAGGAAGTAAGCAGGTTAGTCTAAAACTAATAAAATATGTTTTTATTTACATTCATGATTGTATAAATAATGTTGAAATTACTGTTATACTACGAAAAATGTCTGTAAACAATATTTGTTGTTAAACACATATTGTAACTTGGTCAGTTTTTAATAAAGAACCCTTATTTTGTAGTTAACACAGGCTAATTATGTAACAAAAGCACCAAAGCCAGAAATTCCTAAAAATTCTTTAGCATCAGTGTACTCTGCTGATAATCAAAAAGACAATGGCATTGTTTATGATCGGAAACCCTTTAAGCTAAACCTGGAGGAAGGGAAGACATACCACTGGTGCTTATGTGGCCGCTCCAAATCTCAGCCACTGTGCGATGGCACTCACAGAGATGTATATTTAAAAATAACACAAAGGTATCTTTTATTCTGTTTATATGTAGATAGCATTTTAAATGTCTCATTAGTAAACTATTAAATCTTTTAAACCCAAGACAAACTTTTAATCATCAATATGATTAATTACAACATAGCAAACATGACTTCAATTGACAACTAACATCTACAGTTCTTTCTAACTTTATTTTCAAATACACATAAATTAGTAATAAAAGTTGTAAACTGCAAAATTGAGGTTTTTGATATGTCTATGTAAGACCCATTGATTTAGCCTATAACTGTAAGTATATGTTTTCTTCTAGGCCTATCAGGTTCAAGGTTGATAAAACAAAGGAGTACTGGCTGTGCAACTGTAAACAGACTAAAAATCGTCCATTTTGTGATGGTACTCACAAGCAGAAGGAAATACAAGAGGCTACTACTATTAAAGTTTAGCATGGTCATACAGTGTGTTAGAATTTAGGACTAACATTGTTTTAGGTTCATATTTATAGGAAATATATCTTAAAACATCCGATTTACTTTCTTTTATGTACAGAATTACTACAACAAACATCCTGTCCTTATCCCACTCACATATAGTCGGCGCACCAGGTTTTTCAGATAAAATTAGATAGTAGCACATCTCTCTCTCTGGGCGATGATACTCACAGAGATGTATTTTTAAAAATGACACAAAGATATACAGCCGAAATGTTTCTCTTTATAGATAGGTATCGCCCTTTCTACCAAACTACTATAAGACTAAAAACTTAATAACCTGTGAGCCATTCTCTTAGTGTCTATGCTTACTAAAGTGAGTTGTCAATGTCACTGTCAGATGTCAGTCAATCCTCACAATCACAATCTGTCACAGTCGGTTTCGGTTGGCAAATCCACCAGTCACGTACAAAATTCTTTTCATTTCATTTCTCTTAGTTAGAGTTTAGCTTGTTTGCAACAGAGTGAACTCTATCGTCTCCCGACTTAAAAGATGGAACAAGAAATCAAATTGTTTACTCGCGAGGAATTGAAATGCCGTAATACGCGCGGAGATGCGATTCTCATTATCCACAACGGGGTCTACGATGTGACAAAGTTTCTCGAACAGGTGAGTCGGCATTTTACTCGTGTTCTGTCAATTTCAATTTCTACATGCGCTCGCATTTTCATCAACACACACGAGAACTAAAACATCAGATAATAGGTTATCGAACGCCCATATATATAACTGGACTGGAGTTTTATTATTAAAGGGTTATTTTGAACAATAATTTTATTTGATACAAATACTTTACTTTTTCATTTCATCAAATCTAATTTCCGTTCAGTCACACTGGGAGTGTTTTCAGGATTGGTCAATCTATTTCAGCAATAAAGCAGCTACATTTTATTGTAAAGGCTATATAGGGCAACATTACATGTAATCAGTTTAGTTAATACTATAGTAAATAATTTGCATTTAAAGAGTTGTATGATCTCAAACTACAATAACAAGTGAAGTAGTAAAACATGAAACATAAAAAAGTAAAACTAAATAAATCTTACTGATATTATAAATGCGAAAGTTTAGATGTATGGATGGATGGATGTTTGTTTGTAGCCTAAATGGCTGAACGGATCTCCATGAAATTTTGCACAGATTTAGAGCATAGTCTGGAAGAACACATAGGCTACTTTTTATCCCTGGAATAGTTACGGTTCCCGTGTGATTCATTAATTTAGTTTTTTAATGTTTACTCGATCATTCTGAAACTGTTCAACATATCTTATTGAAATTTAGCACAGATATAAAACAAAGTCTGGAGTACACATGGGGTAAGCTTCATCCTCGAGAAATGTCCGGTTCCCGAGGGATACGTAGCTTTTTGTAATTTTTATAGTTTGTATGTTTACTAATACCACGCATATGAAGTCGCGGTCAACAGCTCGTAAAACATAAGTAAGGATGTAGTTATTTTTAAGTAACATAATGCTGATTATACAAAAGATATTCATTATATCATATGTTTAGAGGTTAACTGCATAAAGATAAAAAAACGATTTAGGTCAAACTAATAATTACAGTTATATACCTTAAAAAAAATTTACCCTTTTCATGAGTTTTATTGACAACTAGCTGTTCCCATGTGACTTCATCCGCATAAAAGTATAAAAATTTCATTTTATTGTTTACATTTGTCAAATTATCAGTTACAAATGTCAAAATGACATTACATGATGACAACCTTACTTCCTTGATGTTGGCAGTAACTTATGGTCTCTTTCCCACATTATGGTCTTTATCCAAAATATTTACCCCCTAAGTTTAATGGCGTTAAAATATATAGCCTAAAGTGTGACACAAGTGTAGGACTTTTTATTAAAAAAAGATTTATTCAAAAATATGCTGTAATGATTTTTTGAGCTCTTTTAGGTATTTTTCACTGTGGACACTTGCAATTACAATATTAACTTGTTACTGTGCTCACCAATTATTAATTCATGTATAGATATAGGCATACAAGTTTGTCAAAGCCAAAATGTGATCTAAAAACCTTGTACATTATTATTAATGACTAATTCACTACAGCTCTGCAGGACCCTTATCAATAAATTACGATTACATATATCTGTTATAAAATTGGTGATCACTTTGAACAAAGACATTATCAATTTTAACACATTTATTGCACCTAAAGGTCAGAGATAGTAAAAATGATTTTCTTGTAATTTCTGTTCATAATATTATTGCCAGGGATTGTTAAAATAAATGTTGGTTGCATTAACAGATATCTACTAAGTCTTTGAACTTATTTTTATCTGAAAATGTATAGATAGTAAACTGTAGATTAGTTATCCAATTGACTTATAGCTTTATCACAAAATTAGGACTATGTATTTAATGTAACTCCTCATATGAATACAATATGTGTATGACTGGACAGTGCAATCTTGTCTCCGAGACTGATTGTTGCATTATTCAGGAGAAATGTAATATGGAATAATGTCACCCAAGGCGTTGCAAGTAGATGTTCAAGTTGGAGATAAACATTAGTGGGAGTAAAAATTCTCATTTGTTATTGTTAGACGTTTTTGAATTTTAATGAAAAACTGACAAGTAGTTTTTGAGTTGTCTATGTGCTTTTTTTAGCAAGCATTTCAAGATTTGGAAGCAGATTAAAAAATTTATTGTACTCAAAGAGTCACCTGCCCCCCTGGCGACGCCCACGAACCCCCATTATTTCGCACTAGGAGCGTCAGCGGCATTTCTCACACTTGAGCCACATTCCGATATAATGAAAGATGCCAGTGCCGCCGCGTCCCGGCACGCCCTTTATTAAATTATAAACGGTATGCCATGCCTCGTTGGTATTCACTAGATATTATGTGCGTTTTAATGACACTCAAATCATTTTTAGATTATTTGTATGGAGGTCAAGTAACGGTATTCGAACCCTCGTATATCATTACACGACCCCTGTTTTGCGCACAAGCTTAGAGCTGTTGCCTTGTTACAAGGTTACAAGAAATATTATAAATTAATGTAAACCTTGAATTGTTTTAAAATTAAAACTAAAAATGATAAATGCAATTTAAAGTAGTTAAAACATTTACATATAATGATGATTTGTCGTTTTTTATTTGTTTAAACGAGAGACTGGCAAACTCGTTGACCCCGCAACACTCACCCCGCAACCCGCAACAGGCCTCGAAACGGCGCGTTACGAAATTTATGAATATGTACAATAAGTACAATTCTTAATACAAAAACGGTGTTGTTGAAGAAGACTATCATTTTTTGTTGACTTCTATTGTTACAAGTAATAATACCATTTTCTTTTTTCTTACTGTACATTTTCCATTAACATGATAATGACATTTGCTGATACAAAGTGATAACAATTTATACATAATCAGTGGTCGAGTGCGAAGTGCACAAACAGCACACAATGCGACGCTCAGATTAACGGCGGATTTATTCATTTATTCCGTACGCAATATGTTGCGTACATAATATGATTATCATTGTAAAGTTGTTCCTTTCAGGAGTACGATACACACGTCATTGCATATCATTGTGTACATATGTATGAGCTTTAGAATTGGAGATATGTGACGTCAATATTGTGTAATACTCTGGACACCCAACACGACATCCTAACGGGGTCTCGGTGTATTGAGATTTATAACACGAATTGTTATCTGAATCTACGTGGACGGTATTAAGCGCAAATGTCATTGTCTTTATAATTCATTTAATTTTGTATGTGCTGACATATACCATAGTATGCACAGATAGTTCGCTTTCTCCGCGCGCTCTCGCCCGCGCCGCACTACCCAGCATTCCGCTGCAAGCTTGCGTACTTTGCACGTGCCCAAATGTTTCCTCATGCATATTGCATACATAACATCACATTATGTATGATTTCTGAATAAGACAAAGAAACAAAATTGAACACGTTTGCCGGATACGACTTTTAAATGTCTGCTATACATTCTCAATCAAACATTCAACAAAACTGTAGAAACCAATGTTTGTCTGTTCACTGTGCGTTTCTAAACAACTGCACAAATCGTCTCTACACAGCACATACCGTTTATTATCATTGACTTTGACAATACTTTAGGGCCGCAAATTGCGTGGGTCAGTCAGTACTGGTGTGGAGTGGTACAATCTATATATTCTCCAGTGCCCCTGATAACCCCCATGCCATAGCCACCGTAGCTATCGGACTTATATAACACGGCTTGTTTTAAATAATATAACATGGGTTATCATAGTTTAATTAAACCAATTTGTACAACCACTAATTTTACAATTGCTTACTGACTGGAACGCATGTTAACCATTGAATGCATAAATGACGAGCGAAGGAAATGACCAAATATTAAAAAAATCTATGACTACAATAATAATAATTCGACGCGACGTATTAATTGGTAACGGTAACAAGGCGAAGGTGAGATTGTTTTGCTTCGGTGCACACAGGTAAGTAGATAATGCCGAAAAACAGTAGATATTAACCAATTCCATGAAACGATAACGATAGTAAATATTTGTACCGGATGTCTCGGACGTTATGCACTTTGTACTCTCGGATATGATTAACAGTAGTTGAGTATTGATTGTTTGTTGTTGCAGCACCCGGGCGGCGAGGAGGTGCTGTTGGAGCGTGCAGGCCAGGACGGCACAGACCCCTTCGAGGATGTCAGCCACAGCTCCGACGCCAGGTAATATTCCCCCGCAACCACTGGCTCTGCCCTATGACACATCTTGTTACAGCATGTTTTCTCAATAAATTATCAACATATGGATTCATTTGTGAAGTTATTATTATAACAAGAGAAGATAAAGTTACTATTGAGTCGGGCGGCGCGGGCAGAGGGCGGCGCTGTCAAGCGTCAAGGCCGAAGGCATATAATAATTAAAGTTTTTAGATTACAAACATTGCAGTTGAAATGTAATGTTTCATTTTATACGTTTCTCTCAATGAACAGTTCACCGCTGTGAGCTCGATGTCAGGAATAATGAATGTTATCTGTATAAGTGATGTGCTCCCGTGAAATTAAAAAATAATATAGGCTATGTACATACAGACAGATAAATTACCTTTCTAACGGTGAAAGAATTTTTGAAATCCGTCCAGTAGTTTTTACGTCAATCGAATACATACAATGATACAATGTTTCCTCTTTATAATATTAGTATAGATTGTCAAACCGGTAACTTATCCATATAAATCTCAATTACCTCTCAATGCTAGTATAGTTTGTTATGATTATATAAAAGTGTGTGTTGTGGTGGGCAGGGCGCTGATGCAGCAGTACAAGATCGGCGAGCTGGTGGAGGCGGACCGCACGCAGAGCAAGGCCGCCTTCCCGCAGCAGTGGACCAACGACACGCCGCGCGAGCTCGGCAAGTGCGTAGTCTCCTAGGGCGCCCCACGCCGCACACCCCGCACCCGCACCCCACACACCCCGCACACCCCGCACACTCACCACACAGATTCCAATCACCTCAGCATCTGTAAACACTTTAGAATAATATATTTAGGAATTAGAAATTATATAAAAGGTTCATTGAGTTATCTCGCTTACATAGTAATTTGTCAACAGTGAGTAAGAAGATGGCATTCCCATATCACCTCACATACACTATTATAAATTAATTCTTATATTTTTCTAAAAACGTTTGCTAAAAGTTAAGGCTGTGTTATTTATTCATGTTTTTATACAAGTGAGGTTTATATTAAAAATGAATTGAATAATCATTACGATAGTTTCGTACAAGTTCCTTATTTCACTCAGATCTCAATACTTATTTTTATATGTTTAATAGAATATTTTATAAAAAAAATTACCAAATTTTCATATTTTTTTCGTTACTGTGATGTTTTAGATTAATTTACTTTTAAAAAATAATTGTTTCCTATAGTTTATATAAAGCTGTATACAATTTTATGGAATTGCAAAGGTAAAATAATATGTATTAGTGCATCAGTACAGCAGATATCGACAAAACATCATTCCATTCCATTCCACAGGCATCTCACATTATGTTCTATATGTTTATTCGTTTGTCTAGAACTAGGCTTGTATCTAAGTAATTGTGATTTTATAGATCTGCTTCAACATAATATACATATGTCAAGAAGTTAGATGTATGTTATTTTATATTTAATATCAAGTAGCCGCTCATGTCACAAATTACATTATAAGTGACAATGTTTTAAGCTAGAAATGTAGGTTTGCGAACGCTTTTCTAGTATTGCAGTTGTAATGTAGGCTTGGGAAAGGCTACGTATAGAAAGTTGTTTGTAGATATCGTAAGCTCAGTAATGTAATAGCGAGCGAGCGTTTCGTCGCGTCGGTGCTGTCTTTGTGTTTGAAGTATATTTACTTGTTATTATTGTAACGTTGTGTATCAATAAATTACATACAGAACACATAAGCATTCTTATTTTCTTCTTCCACTTTATTTATTTCGCAACCATAGTTAACATCTTTGTATCGTTTTCTCAAGTGGTTTCCGTAAAGTTAAGTTAAGCAATAAAAATGCTAATCATGTCTATTTCAAGCAACATTGTCCTAAACACATGGCTAGCGACATTGTTGCTTCTTTACAATGATCTTATATATTTATCCATGAACCATGAACCACCACATATTACATTCAGATAAAGTAGTCATACAAAAAAGAATGCACCTCACTTTTGATATAACTCCAATTGTACAATATTCTATTCATTTTCTTCATGTCACATAATCATTAACCTTTATTACAGTAATTCTCTTAAATAAAATTAAATGTGAAATTTAAACCAATTTCATTAAACACTACATGTATTCCAAACAGTAACACTTTATAGATCTCTGTTTTGTAAAATAAATCAATCATTGCTATTAAAAAACATTAAAGAAGGATGAAAAATCTTTTTAAAAGATCGGTCGGTATGAGTAGTATAGTGCAGTGCGGTGCATACAGCGGCACGTGTTGTGTTGCAGCGCGTGGAGCTCGTGGGTGCTGCCGCTGGC